CCGCCTGTCCCCACGCGTCCCCACGCGTCCCCCGGGGTCCCCCGTCCCCCTCGGCGCACAGACACGCACGCACGCGCGGCTCGTCATCCCTGTATTCCTCGGGGACAGGCGGGGGGTCCCCGCGGGGGGACGGGGGGCTCTAGTGGGGATGGTGCCGGTGGCCAGGAGGATGATGAGGATGAGGATGACGACGCCCACGAGGCCGAGGATGATGAGCAGCTTCACGTTCTTCCACCAGTAGCGGCGGGCCACCTTCTGCGACGTCGTCTTGAAGTGCTCCGACTGCGGGGACACCGCTCAGGGCGGGACAAGGGGACACCCCCTGCCACCCTGGGGACAGCCCTGCCACCCCAGGGACCCCCACTGCCACCCAGTGCCCCATGTCCCACCACCCTGTGTCCCCCCCCGGGGTCCCAGTGCCAGCTCAAGGACCCGGTGCCACCCCAGGGGACCCAGTGCCCCCAGTCCCGGAGCCACCTTGGAGACCCTGTGCCACCTCAGGAGCCCTGTGCCCACCTTGGGGACCTTATGGCCACCTTGGGGACCCCATGCCCAACTTGGGGACCTTGTGTCACCTCAGAAGCCCTGTGCCCAACTTGGGGACCCCCTGTCACTTGTGGACCCTCTGCCCAATGTGGGGACACTGTGGCCACCTCAGGAGCCCTGTGCCCACCCTGGGGACCCGGTGGCCACCTCAGTTGCTCTGAGCCGCCTTAGGGACCCTGTGGCCAACCTGGGGACCCTGTGCCACCTCAGGGACCCTGTGCCACCTCAGGAGCCCTGTGCCCAATGTGGGGACCCTGAGCCACCTTAGGTACCCCCTGCCACCTTGGGGACCCCGTGCCCAACTTGGGGACTGTGTGGCCACCCTGGAGACCTTGTGTCACCTCAGAAGCCCTGTGCGCAATTTGGGGACCCTGTGTCACTCGGGGACCCTATGCCCAACTTGGGGACCTTGTGGCCACCTCGGGGACCCTGTGCCACCTCAGGAGCCCTGTGCCCAATTTGGGGACCCTATGCCACTTGAGGACCCCACACCCAATGTGGGGACCATGTGCCACCCTGGGGACCCCGTGCCAGCCCGGGGACGCCCTGCCCGCCCCGGGGCCCCGCCGCGCTCACGGTGGCCTCCAGGTCCTGGCTCTTGCTGTGCAGCTGCTCCAGGTTCTCGCCCCGCGCCAGGATCCGCTCCACGTTCTGGCTCATGATGGTTTTGACGCCCTCCACCTCCTCCTGCAGCGCCCGCACACGCC